CAAACCTCAGATGCAAGGGTGACCTATTTATATAATATTAAATAATTTTATTTTCATATACTAGGTTGGCACTTTGCCCTCCAAGTATAAATTTCTGGATCTGCCCTTACCTATATCTTCAAACACAAATTATTTTTACGAAATTTCTCTCAATATTAAAGTAAATATTTAGTGTGCTAGGTATACTACATCATAAATATATCCAATCAGTCAAATATAATATATTATCTCATAATTTTAAAAATAAATAGAACAATTATTTTAAAATAATATATTATTATTAATCGGGCATATCAATAATTTAGTATGCCACCCCACTATTACTCTCCTCGAAATTTTGTGCCTTAATAATAATTGTTAGATATTTAAAAAGGTGTTGATGGACAAAACTTAATGAAGAAGGGCAAACTTTAAAGCATTGCATATATTTGTGGAAGCAGGTGGGACGGGGCTTTCAAATTGGTGCCGTACGGCGGTGGCGCGCCAAATCTCGGTCCCGTGACATCATGCTGACACATCAAGAAGAGTCAGCACCACCATCACAATACACGTGTCACCACTTCATTGGCCATCGGGTATTATATTCATTCTACCTAGTCATCTGCCTTCTTAATAAAAAGCCTACTTCACTGACATATTTCCTTCATAAGAAGAACACGTCTATGTCTATGTATGTCTGTCTGTCTCTCTCACACACAGTTCATCATCAATACACCAGTATTCTCCAACAGCTTGATTATTTTCTGAGCAATCAAAGTCAGAGCCATGACTGAAAAGGTTTGTGAATCTTGTAGTTCTCCCTCTATTTATATATTACGTACCCATTTGATTATATGCATAAAATTGTTCTGAATTAATTCAATTTTCCTTCCTGTAATGTAAATTATAGGTTACAACAATGATACTACATGTCGATCTTCAGTGCTCTTGCTGCTACAAGAAGATCAAGAAAATACTATGTAAATTTCCTGGTGAGTCCCTATATACGTACCTGCCTGATCACATATATATTCCTATAAACACTGACACACACACACACACACACACATATATATTATACTACATATATACACATTTCCTCATCATCAATTCATCACAATTAATACTGAAAAGATGAATGGTGCCCAACTCAATTCTTATATATTAAATCCTTATGTAATTTATTGATTTTAAGAACTGAGTCTAACTTTTTTGTGATGTAAAATGATGTTTGGGACATTGAGAGATTCGAGACCAGGTGTATGATGAAAAGAAAAATACGGTGAAGATCACCGTAATATGCTGCAACCCCGAAAAAATTCGTGACAAGTTATGCTGCAAGGGAGGAAAGTTAATCACGTGTATTAAGATCATAGAGCCGCCGAAGACGCCGACGCCACCCCCGCCGCCGCCGAATAAATGTATCCCTATCCAAGTGTGTTGTGGGCCATGTTCTGAGGGCATTCCTGGGGGGCCATGTTATCATGGGTTTCGAAGAACACCACCACCACCACCACCTTGTTATTATCCCCCAAGAATACCATGCTATTGCTATGGAAGACCATGTTACATGACTAGTTGTGATTGCTACACAGTAGGTAATCCATCAGAATGCACAATCATGTGACCATGGTGCACTGGGTGGTCATTGTTGTTAGGGTCCTGATCATGCTCATTAAATGTCCATTTTTGTTTTTTTTTGTTTGCAATGTGGTTTTTTTTACGAGAGTGAGTGCTAGTAAATTTCTGTGTGCTTCAAAATAAATTTCATTTTAAAAAGTCAATAAAACAAAATTAAATATCTTTGGGATCATATTTAAAATATGAAAAGTTTTTCAAATTGTTAACCATAGCACCAGGGACTTACTTTACATACATGTGGTCCTGTGGAATCTCTTTAAACTATTTTTGTTAACCATAGAATTTTTTAAAATTTTTAAACACATGCCGTGTTTGTAGTAAATGGAGGTACCATGTCAGCACAATGACATGACACGTTTTGGGTACTGAATAATTTCTTGTTCATTTGATTTTAATTTGAGTTATGTGCGGAGTACTGGTTAATTTCTCGTTCATTTGATTTTTATAAATCATTTTCTTTTCACTTTCTTGCTAACCAAACTAATTAAACAACATTTTCCCACAAAAGTTTTACAAAAAAATCATGCTAACCAAATATATGATAGAAACATAATTTTCTTTTCTTTCACTTCACTTTTTAACGTCAATTTCCGACTAACCAAACGAACCCCAAAATGAACAGGATAATAGATACATATGGTGTATTTTTTTATGCCTCTTTAATAAGGAGGTGGTTGTACATTATAACCAAAAATAAAAAATTAATAAAATAAAAAATGGTACTAGCAATTGATCAGCTCTTTATTTCCTGTAAAGACCCAAAAATGCAGAAGCACGAAAGTTTCAGTAACCAAATCTGAAAATTGTTGTAACAAACCAACTTAAGCCCGTGCATTTAGAAAGTAGACAATGAATTACAGTCCCTAGATCATTTGTTTTCATAAAAGGACGCAAGTGGAGAATTAGACAGACACTTTGGTAGTCTGTTAACACGACGATATCTTCTTATCGTTGCCATACTCTTTGGTTAAGAGATGAGAGATGTAAATGCCATTATATATATATATATATATATATATATATATATATATATATATATATATGTGCTGAAACCATCATTACAGCCGATTGGAACCTCCCAAGCTCTTTCTTCGAACCTTCCCACAACATGCAATCCCTTCTTCTCTCTCGCCTTATCCCATCATTGGGTGATGGATGCTCACTGTTTAATTTGTTTACTCTATCTCTATCTCCTTCTTATTTTAATTTTTTTTTATTATTATTACCTTTCTTTGAGATTTAGGAAGTGGCTAGCGGACCCAAAAATATATTTTGAGGTGGGTTAGTATAACTTTTTTTTTTTCCTTTTTTTTTGACTGGGCTAAAATTATTGGAAAAATTACATATAAATGGAGTCAAAGTTCTATATTTACTTAGAGAATGAGTCAAAATTCCATATTTCTCTAAAATGGATTGCTGAGGTGGCACATGATTTTTTACTGTTTAAAAAATTGTGGTGCCTAAAATGCCCTTCCCTAACAAAAAAGTAGTACCTTCAGTTCAAAAAAGTAGTACCTTCAGTTCAAAAAAGTAGTACCTTCGGAGAAAAAGTAGTACCTTCGCGGGTGTTTAAAAAACATGGTACCTGGACGCCAAAAAGTAGTACCTTCAGTTCAAAAAAGTAGTACCTTCGAAGAAAAAGTAGTACCTTCGCGGAAGGGTATTTTAGGCACCACAATTTCTAAACAGTAAAAAACCATGTGCCACCTCAGCAATCCATTTTAGAGAAATATGGAACTTTGACTCAGCCTCTAAGTAAATATGGAACTTTGACTCCATTTATATGTAATTTTCCCAAAATTATTAGTAGTAATTTTTATTTTATTTTAATTTATTTATTATTATTTTTATGTGGGTGGGCTCAAGCCCACCAGAGCCCCCTGCATCCGCCCTTACACATGGGAGGAGCAGAGACGAGCATAGGGAGAGGTCAATGCTGCCGTTTAGAGTGGCAGGTGGCGGCGGCGGCTCGTTTGCGTTTGGGACGTGGTTGCGAGCGGTGGCGATTTCCATTGGCTCACTGTGTCTGTATTTCTTTCCTCCTGTTAGCTCAAAATCCTCAATATTTTTGGCTTATCATATGAGTGATTAGAAATGGGTTTGGATGGAAGTTTTTTTTTTTTTGGACGATAAAGCAAACGCACACACACTTTTTGTCCACGCCCGGGCTCGAACTCCTCCCTCCTATTTGATGATGGGAAGGCTATACCATTGGGCCAAAGGCCCTTTGGTGGTTTGGATGGAAGTTCATTTGGAGTATTGGGTCTTTGTTTGTTTTGGGTATTTTTGTTGAGGTAATGGATGTTTCCGTGGTTGTGGACGGTGGTGGTGGTGGAGGGAAAGATGGGTGGTGGTGGGCCGAAGATGGGTTGGTTGTGGTGGTGACTGGTGGTTGTGGAGGTTGTGGTGGTGAGTGGAGAGAGAGAAGTCTGCATGTAATGTGTGTATATTGAATGAGGTTACTGTGGTCATTTTAGGTGGTCATAGGGTAAATATGTATTTTCACCATGTTGGGGGGTTGTTTTTGTTCAGTTTACTAAATTTGAAAGTGTCGTCTTGAAGGGGTGTCAAGCAATTTACCCTAAATGTTAATAACAGTAAAGTTATTTTCTTACCTCTCGTGGAAGGAAATAATAAAAGCCCACGTTCATTAGGGTCCAAAACACTAACCCCTTTTTAGATGGAATTCATCTACAATCAGACAAAAAAAAAATAGCTATATCAGTGACTTTTAAGGTCCAAAAGCATGCAAAATATATGAAATAGAGATTTGATCATTTCATACAAATGTTGAACCGCATATGAAGAAGAAATTTAATAATTTCCATTAAGGGTATAATATTCCAACACAAACTTTCCAAAGCCAGTTATAGAAGCTTAGCTTTACTTTCAATTGTAATCCCACAGATAAAGTTCCAAGCCTTTTAGATGATGAATAACATGAGAAGAAGTAAAAAAAAAATCACTAGAAATTGTTACCCTCCCTACTAGTAGACACAGGACTGGGATTTTTTATTTAACTAAAGTATCACTAATTCAACTGCTACAAGTAATCTTGTTTTAAGTTGCCTAGCACGCTTTCTAGCAGTTTCTATTGTCCTGACTTGCTCTGAATATTCGGCATAAAACTGATACAACACAGGACGTGGATCAATAATTATCTTCTCCAGTGATGCGGCAACCTCAAGTATGTGAAAAACAAGATCAACTTCGCTGTTGTACTCCCATCAAACCCAACCAATTCCACCACCTTAAGGCATTGATGATGACATTTAGATGCTTCTTTTCCAGCATCTATTTGACTATCGTTTATTACCAACCAACACCATAAGAGAAGTCATTATTTGTAGACAAAGTTAAGAATATAGCAAACTCTTAGATCAGTACAGATTTGTAATTTTCAGTACCTGTCTACCATTGTTTCCCAGAGTCATCTGCCATAGAGGAATATAGTCCGACAAAAACTTGTTTACACTACAAGATTGGATAAAATAAATAAGAAAAAACTACACAATGAATTAGAAGCTAAGAACAATGGTTGGTTAACACAAGAAGATTTGGTTGAAAAGTAAATTGCATGTTTTTTTGCACTGAATTTGAAAGAAGCCAGTTGCATCTAATAAAAATAAAAATTTAAAACTTTTTCTCAATAATTTACCAAAAAGTTTCTAAGAAAATCAACAAATAAGCATGTTTTAACATTCCCATGGTGATTCAAGTGCTCATCTTTTCCCCGCAATGACCCGAATCAGCCTATCTAGAAGTAGGAGTAAGGTTGCCTACCATCCACCTCTTTCAGACCCTGCTAAATGTAGCAACCTACTGTACTAGGTAAAAAAAAAAAAAATTGCCATAATGATTCAAGTAATGCCACCGGATTATGCAACAAACTATTATGCCAAAAGCAATGTCACAATTAAAAAAAAAAAAACTCGGTTACATATTTGTCATCAATATTGGATATAACATGAGGAATCATCCAATATAAAAAATTCATAAAGAAACAACACCACAATTTGGTTATTTTCAATATGCCTGCAGAAACTGTCCCCTATTGCTTTAACTGCCATTTGGAAGCTACAAAACACTCTAATAATAGCAACTCCCAGAAAGTAATTGTAGATAAGTAGCTGAGGTGGTTTATATTCCGTAAAATAATATTCCCTACTATGCTACAAAAGCCTGAATTTTGTCAAATCTCACTCACATTCTAATTCAATCGTTATTCATTGTCAATTATGCAAAAAAATAATAAAATAATAAAATTCACTTCATGCTAGGGGGAGGATTCAAGTGAACAGTTCTCTATCAAATTTATTGTCACCAATACAAGGATTTTGAATGTGCTTAGGAACATCACAAAATTTAAACGATCTGAGTTTATTCCTCAAGGAAAGACCACAAAGTGTATCATGCAAGGTTATAGGAATAGCAAAAAGAGAGTATATTGATGTCCTTAGGTTAACACCTTTTTTTTTTTTGGAGTAATATTTTCATTAAAACGACTCAAAAGGGAGGCACGCCCAAGAGAACATGTACAAAAAATAAGCTCCAAGCCACAATATCCCCTATACCCTCAAACTATCCACAAAGGCTACAAAGTCCTCTACAATCTCTCCCATTAACCCAACAAAAAAGAGAATAAAAAATGGATGATTTTAATATCAAATAGAAGATTCCATCCCTTTTTCCTTCACACCACAAGCCCCACCAAGTACGAAGTCGAATCACTCTCCATGCATCCTGGGCTAGTGACCTAATATACACTTGTTCCAAGCTTCAAGCATGCTCAACGTGGAACCTGGAAAGACCCAGCCAACCAAAAAGGGTAACAAACATGTCCACACATCCCAGCCAACACAAAATGTAAGAGAAGATGATCAATCAATTCCTCATCCCTCTTGCACGAGCACCAATTTACCAAGATTTGAAGCCTTGTTCTTGTCGATTGTCAAGATCCTCCCCAAAACAACCGTCCATCCAAAAAAAAAAAAAAAAAACCACCTCGAGGAAACCTTTGGTATTCCAAACTGCCCTACTAGGAAAGGCAGACCCCTAAGTTGTTGGAAGCCTCCGGTAAAAAGAGCACAACTCAAACCTACCTTGCTTGAAATCCTCCCAAACCCATACCTCTACCCCTCACGTACCACCCTCTCATGGTACAACACCACCAAGAACCCAACAATGTCTTCCACCTCCCAATCCTCGGGAGAGATCTCACAAACTGCATATCCCAAGTCGACCTTCTGCTATCAAGGCTATAACAAACAGCTACCAAAACGTGACCATCTAGAGATATCCTGAACAACCTCAGGAAAACACTTTCTATTGGCCTATCCCCACACCATGGATTAGACCAAAACCTAAAATGCCTCCCAGATCTCACCCTTAACCAAGTATGTTTGGAAAATTCAATTACCCCACCCCCTATTCCAATAAAAAATATTAAAAACACAAGGGGATAAGATTTGTTGTCCTACCTTTGCAATTAGTGGCCAAAAATACAACTTTATAGCAAAATTTCTGTGTCCTAATAACATACAATCATGTCTAACCAAATAATAAGTCCCATTTAGCGACTTTGCAAGCAAGAAGATAATTTCTAGCTTAATTGGTACAGTTAATTGTGTCAAACAAAATCTGAGAAATTATGCATATACACTCACAATAAAGAACAAAGTTGGTGACATTTTGTTGGTGTAATTAACTTTATTTAAAAGGACAAAAATGCCCTTGAACCAATTTTACACAACCAAAAATATATCTATCCTCTATCCATATCTTTAGACTCTTCACCTCTCTATAACATTTCATCTCTATCTCAGAAACCCTATAATGTCTGGCCCATAAATTTTATTTTCGGCATCCTTTAAAGACCCATCATTTTTCATTGGAACAGGACCATCAACCAGATTAAGAAAGACCCACGGTAAGAAATGTAGAAAATTGGACAGGTATAAAATATTTTCTCTCTTCAATAATCAACATCTGCAAACACAAATCCTTTAATCCAATTCCAATAGGACGCCATTTAAGCATATTCAAGAGAAAAAAATAACTATACAACACGTAAAAAATGACACTTCAACAATCATAAGACATTCAAAATAGCTCCAGAAAATATTATTTTACTTATGCAATTAAGAAACCAAATTTAGGAGAACTATCCACGCCCTGTATAATTACTCGAAACATAGACACTGTCATATCATATGCAATAGAAAAGGAAAAGCAACTCAAAAAGATCCCTTTATCACTGGTGTGTTTATATTGCAAAAGAGTGAGTTCCATAATTTCACCACAAAACAAACACAGATCTCAATAGAATGAAATACACGTATAAATATATCAAGTCAAGAGAAACGGTTTTGCCAAAAAACAAGAAACCAATAATTATAAAAACTACATATATGCATGTAAATATATATTTGTATGCAAGATGAAGGAAAATAAAAGGAGATAAATATTTATTAAAAGCAAAACTAATTTCTAAATCTATTAAAAAATCAAAAAGAAAATCAACCTCCATGAAGTGGTATATTAATAAATGTAAGAAGGTAAATACATGGATATATGCGCACGCACACACATACAGAACAAAAGTTGAGGGTATTTTGGTCCAAATTGTAATGTGTATATAAGTCATTACAAACAACTAGAAGGGTACTCTTGCAAATTTAACACACTTAATGGCAGTTTGGTTACTTCAGTGCATTTTTGCAACCCATCAGATGATCACTTAAGGACAGGGGGAAATTTGTGATTTTTTCAAAACCTTGGGGAAGGTTGATCACCATTTTGATCAAAGTTTCATCTGAGAGTGAAAAGGTAAAATGACGGGGGAGGTGAGGTGAGGGTAATTCACCCTTATCAATTTAATTACTTTATTTAGTACAACTAACTTTTTTTTTAGGCTGGTAATAACATATTGATATTATTCACATTCTAGTAACACATTGTAATACTTAACTTTTTTTTCCTTTGTAATCACATATTAGGCTAAGCAAGATAACAGTGGTTAGGATCAATGGATTCTTTATAAAATTATGTTTCCTAATGATATTAGATATATATTCCTTCTCCTTTCTTTTCACTTATTTCCTTTTTCATAATTGAGGACAATTTAAGATATTTGCCTCTCTTTCAAGTTCTTATATTTCTCAGCCTCTTTTTCCATTCCTTCTATGTCTACTTTTCCCTAACACTTGACACCTAGATGTGGTAAATTCAGAAGGCCTCCATGAAAGATTTTACTTGGGTTACTCAAATCGTACAAGTACAAACACACAGAGTTCTCAAAACTAAGGGTGTATTTGTAACGGCATTTTTTAGGAATGCATTGTTTTCAATTTTTATCTTTTTCATCTTCAGCTTGTTCTTTAAATTTAATTTGGGTAAATTTTTTTGTAGTAAGTAATCAAGTTCAATATGTTTCCTTTTTTAAGTTCTAGATGGAAATTTACTTGCAGAAGCGAGCACGCCCTTTCACCTCCTCAACCTCTTAAACAAAGATCTTACGTTCTATCATATATGTCTCTCTCTGCTTTCACCTCTCTCTCTCTCTCTTCTTATCAGTCTACATTTATAGTCTATTTAAAATCATACACATAATTTTAAAAAATCAATAATAATACTTCCATCAGCAAACATTACCTTAAGATTACAAAAAAAAAAAGATACTTACCCGAACAGAAAACTTAGACAAATTAGGAGATGCCTTAATCACGGAAGTAAACCTAAGAAGGCTGCAACCAGCAAATCCCCCCGTGATTGACAATTCCACATGCTTGAGATTACCTAGCTCACGAAAATATATGGGGAACTGAAAAAATCCTACCAAAAGTAAGCAGAAGTTAGTAATGATGTTTATAGAAGAAGAAGAAGAACAAGAACAAGAAAGCATACTACCACAATGATTGTGTATTCTAACCTGAGAAAACATTTTTAACTTGAGCTTTTCTATTTGAGGAATATAGCGGGAATGCTTGCAAGATCCAAAAACAAAGGATGAACAGAATGGCCCTGCAATACATGGGACACTTATATCTTGTCCCATGTAGGTGAATGAAACCAGATTTGTTGCAAAAATTTCCAAATTTGTCAAACAGTGGCAGTGAGATATCTCTAAGCACTTCAATTTGAGTGATGGGCCAGCAATTTTTAGATTCACTAGACATGTTGTACCCACAATGCATAACTGTTCAAGAAATGGACAGCTGGATAGGAAATTCTCAAGCACCTCCTCCATGATATTAACACCAACCAAACGAAGGGCTGTCAAGGAACTAAAGCCAGATGCAGAACCAATATGACTGTGTGAATTCCTAAATAAGAATTTGAAGTTTTCCATGCTTGGAAAATCATAATATTGACGCCCACGAGTGGGTATAGTCTCAGCAAACACATTGAATTCAAACCTTTGAACTCTCTTTTCCATTGCAAACCTGATCCAATCATTGATATCACGAGGGTAGTGCTCACCGAAATTAAAAGAAATCCTCATTTCATCTATAGAGGAGCTAAGATGCAATTTCAAGACTTTATTCACACAACTTACATACTTAGTACGCCTTTTTCTTGTCCACGTAAAAGTTCACATTTACGTTCACGTATACGTACAGGTAAACAGTCCCGGTCCCGTTCCGATGATGAAGTAACATCATCTACAGGAGCTCTTAGTAATGTCTTTGAATCGAAGTTGAAACTAGCAGTTATATATCTCCATAAATATCTCCATCTGCTTGAGAGAATACTAGTACATGCAGCTTCCTTAAGTGTTAAAAGAACCAAATGGCTACTCATAGGTATGCTTAACTTGATGGCTACTCTAAAAGCACTAGGATGGATTATTTTATGATTTCAATGATAAAAGTTGATTATTTACACTCACTGTTTATCTATAGGAAGATCATATTATGAATCATATACCTAGTAGCATAATCTTAGAGAATATGGTATGAGTATTAGTTGTACCACAAATGAACACACTTAGTATAGAAATTAAGATTTATAAATGAATTCCCTATTGATGCATTGGCATCATTTAATACACAGATTCCTGCATCGATACATTGATGTAGTGGGAGGATTATCATCCAATCCGACAGAATCATGTTTTTAGGTGAGACCTTTATGGGCATCCCTGTTAAACATGAGTTGGACCAGTAAGCTACACGAAAGCATGAACTAATATGGAAATAGATCGTTTTGGTAAGTTGCTATGAAATCAGAGTTGGAATCTATGTATTCTAATAAAATCTAGGATCTTGTGGAACTTTCTAGTAGGGTGATACCTATGGAAGACAAGTTAATCTATAAGAGATACTAGAAGATTTCTTAGTAAATGAACCATGTGTGAACAGGGTAATGTCATTATTTTTCTAATTCTATATATATATTGATGACATCCTACCCATTTAGAATGACGTGGAAGTTTAGTCATCAGTAAAGAAGTAATTATTTAATTATTTTGAAATGAATGATTTTTAAGATGTAAGATATATTTCTAGGATTAAGCTTTTACAAGATCAGGTTAAAAGGAAAATAAGTTTATCTTAACAATCCTACATTGATAAAGTTTAGACCAGCTTTGGTATACAAAACTCAAATAATGAGTTCTTACTTTATTGACATGGATTGCTCTCTAGTAAGTAGTTTTTCAAGACTAGCAGAGGAGATTAAGCAAATGAGACTATAATAATATAGTTCAGCATGTGGGATTCTCATATATGCCATGGTTTATACCAAACATGACATCTGCTACGATGTAGGGATAATCAGTAGATATCAGTCTAATCCTGGACTTAATAACTGGTTTGTTATAAAAAATATCATAAAGTACCTTAGGAGAACCAATGATCTCATGCTTATTTATGGATGTAATGATGTGGTCCCAGACGGGTATGCTAGTTTTGATTTTCAATCAGATGTAAATACTATGAGATTCATGACTTGGTGTATGTTCACTCAATAGAAGGGAAATCAATTGGTAGAGTGTTAAGCAAATTTTAACTACTTACTCAAACATAAAGGTGGAGTATATTATAGCCTTAAAGGCAACAAAGGAAGCCTTTTGGTTTGATCTCACTGATTTAGAGATTGTGGAGCATACTAGCCTATTGCGATAATAATGCAGAAGTAACCCAAACCAATGACCCAAGGCTCCATAGAGGAACAAAGTACATTGAGAAGAAGTATCATGTTTTATATGATATTGTCCGGCAAGAAAATGTATTCATGGCTAAAACATTGCATTGAAACACAACTTTGTTGATTCATTTACAAAGATGTCATCGATCAATAGTTTTGATCGTCACCTGGATAACATTGGAGTTAGATGCAATTTGAATTAGCTATAACGGCAAGTGGGAGCTGTTGGGATTTATATACCCTAGTATAGCAAATTCCTATTTGAATTATAGTGACATATGTTTCTGACATATCTGAAATATTTATGATTTATATAATTGGTAAATTTAATGTATTATATTTCAATTCATTATGGAATTGATAATGTCCACTTGATTACAAGAGATATTTATTTATGTATGTGATGGCGATCAATACATGAATATAAATAGTAATCATAAATTATTCATAGTCAGTAATTATGAATGGACTCATTATTAATTAAGACTTGAACTGGATCTGCGTTAGGTTAGGATATATTGTAAGAGTCGTCGTATGCAATTGCTCTCTGTCACTGTCATGGCATTTGACTCTCAAGTATGAGAGAAGTATAGACTCTTTTATTAATTAATAATTACTTTAATTTGTTTGGCGGATACTTCTAGATACATAAATCGGCACTTTGGGTAGTTGTGTAATTAATAGTTAGAGGGTTATATTCTCATTATTTGCATCAGTACTACTTATATTTGTTTTGTATTGATTATGATTGATCACAAATTATATTCGAATGCCTTCGTATGTTTTAGACAAAATGTTTTCTATATATTTATTTAGTAAATTATTATTTTTGTCATACAAATTTTTATTGTGATCAAGTCAGAAATAATCAAAGGTAACAAAATAATTATATTAATTATGTTATCGGATTGATGGTTTTATAATCCGATAAATAATTATGCATAAAGGGGTCAAAGTGCAACATTGACTTAAAGGTTATTTACTATTTAATTGGAGTGCAATTAATTTTTTTTAGTGGAGTAGAAATTAATTTATGAATTAATTGTATTAGGTCCATGATTTAATAGACCAGACCAATTATTAATTTATAGTAACCAAGAAAATAGTAAGCCCAAAGGATTCTCACCCATAGCCCAAGTTGATATTGGAGTTCTATTAGAATTGAGATATGTGAATTAAAGATTGAGAAGGATTTATTGTTTATTTTCCTTATCTTTATTTTGCCTATATATACATGGACCGGTCCATGTATATTTTAGGTGACATTTTTGAAAGACAAAAGGAATATATTTTCTCTCTCTAGTTTTTAGGGTTTGTTTTCTCTTCTAAAAGAAGCTACCACAAGCCTTGCCTCTAAGGTCATTCATCGAGGTATATTGGTGATTCCTAAAGAGAAGATTACTATTAAGAAGAAGAAGAAAGGATCTTACTAAGGGATCTACAATAAGTGAGAACATTCACTTTAGAGGAAAGATTTAATGGTTTACTTAAACTTTTGATGTAAGTATTCAATCTATTAATAGAATGATATATCATATTTTATTTTAGCATAAAACTTATCTCTATGTGATGAAAATCCATGTATAAAAATCCCTCAAATAAAGTTTTTAAAACTTGCACGTTTCCTAACAACAAGATCCTATGATTTTGATATAACGACTTGTACATCTTCTAAAAGTCTCTAATATCATGTTATAAGTGGTGACAATACTCAACCTATATATATACCTAATCACTTCTCCATTTGAATTCGATACGAAACAAGTTCCCTAGCTTGTAAGAAGGGCGGATCCAAAGGGGGCTTGAGCCCAAAAAAAATAAAAATAAAAAAATTACTATAGCTAATTTTAGCCAGTCCAAAAAAAAAAAAAAAAAAAAAATAGTTGTACTAACCCATCCCATAATATATTAGTCCCTCCAGAATATATTTTTGGGTCCGCCATTGCTTATAACAAGAAGTTACTTGAGAGTGAAACTATGAAATGGGACTGGATTAAAACCGTAGGGCTCTTATTTTAAGTGAAATTTGGGTAAAGGTTTTACTAACTCGAATTATCGACAACCCAAAATATAAGAATAATTACATTAATTATGTAAAATAAAAATGTTATTTATATTTTCTTTCTTTATTTCTTTTTGGCAGGTAAATTTTATTTACTTATCTACCATGATATATTATGTTCTTTTATTTTATCCTAGCAAACTAGGGAGAATGGGTCTCTGACAAGTGCATACCCGTTCGGAGAGTTGAACACTCCACCAACTAGGCCACGCATCACCCACCATAATATATAATGTAACTTATTACTTTTTTACAATTATAAATGTGCTAACCCCTAATATTCTAAGCATGGGTTGATCAGGTTCACGTACATCCATAAATCAGGAGATATCAAGTCGTCTGACAAGTGCATATACGAGATTTGTTGTATGAGAGAGGGTGTATTTTTTTTTTAAGTATGACGTGGCCAGCTAGGTTTCAGGGACTCTTTCGTGCTATTGCTTGGTGTTGCCTATCATTACTCATTTATAAAAAATGTTACCAACCATCTTGAATGGCGTATTGTAATTGATGAGCATACTAACGACTTGATATGTTCGAGGCACCCAAATTCTTTGTGCATGAGAGAGAAAATTTTTAAATTACATAAACACCCACTAATTTAATGAGTTGGCCAACAGAATAAAGATTAGCATTACCTATGTTGGAGCTGTGTTAGTAGCAATATCGTACCAACAGTTAATTTTGAGTGGACCGGTTGTACTTCACAATTACTTCAAGCATAATTTATTTATTATCATTATTATTATTATTATTATTATTTTGTCATGGCAAGAAACCTACACACATCATTCACGCATCCACTTTATTTATTTGGAGACTAGACCACCAGACCCTTACTTCAAGCACAATTGAAGTTGACCTTTTCAATTTCCTTCAATTTTCAATATGCATCACCACATAAACCATAGAATCCCTAAAAATCGAACATTCGAGACCCAAAATCGTGCTAAGTTGGTCCGAAACTCTAGAATTGTGATTCCTTCTTTTCCTCTCTAACGAAAGGAACTGAAGTCAACACTTATTTTTCATTTGGTGGGGAGGAAGAAATTGGATGGAAGATAGAGACAAAGAGATAGATGTTCCATTCATTCGTCTTATTTGGTTGGATGGAAGAGAAAAAATAAGATAATTACCTTATATATTTTGTTTGTTAGGAGAGAAGAGAATAAAGTATAGTAATTATAATGAAAGTTTGTAATTTAAGAACTTACATATTTGGGGGATTAGGCAACATGACCCATAGGGGGACATAGGCCCTGACTCATCTGATCTAAAGGTCCAAAATATACCACCAAAATGACCTAAGGATTATAAAGAGGTAGCAAAAGGCAAAAAAGGGGGAAAAGGAATTTCAAGGCTCTGAATACACTCCAGACTTCGTCTTCCCTACCATCACTTCAGTCCTCAGATTGGGCTGATTTTCTCTCCCTTAATTCACTCTTCTGTATTCTTCCTATTGTTTTAGTGATATATCCCAGATACTTTGACCATTCAACTATCATCGAAAAACATATATTCCTCCTATTGTTTTAGTGATATATCCTAGATACTTTGACCGTTTAGCTATCATCGAAAAACAGGTCCATAC